GCTCTTAGACTGTCCTCCCTAGATAATGTGTGACGTAGTGTTAGGTCCAAAGGCTGCACAGATAGATTCCTCTGCCATCCGTTTTCCGAAAGGACACCGGTTCAAATCAATTCCGGTGGCTGAAGGGAGAAGCTGGTGGTCCCTACACCCCCGAATAGTGGCCATGACACCAAGGCAGCCCACCGAAAACGATGGATCATGCATCAGCCAGGGGTTGGCGAGGCAAAGTGCTGGACGCCAGTAATTTGCCGCACAAGAATAAATTGTGGAAACAAGACGAAGGGACGTAACTTTGACAACAGACATAGGAATCACAGGAGTGCATAACATGAAACACATGTACGCACTTTGCATTCATGCGTTGCGGATTTGTTTTCTGTGGGTGGCCCTGGCGCTTCCACTAGCGTTGGCCAAAATTGAAGCCTTCAACGATATTGAGTTTTGACCCTTCCAAAAACGCCAAGGGTTTCAACTGGGTGCAGCCAGGACAAACAACCCAGCGAGGCTGATGAACAAAGGAGCCTTGGCAAGAGAAGCGGATATGGAGAGGTCTGAAGTGGGTGAGGGCTAGCACAATAGGATTGCCCTCAACGGTCTGCACCAGTGTCCGGAACAAAAAACAAAACAAACAACAAAACAAACACCCACACACACACACACCACACACACACACACACGCACACACACACACAGGGGAAGTAACGGTAGTGAAGTAACTATGTCTGCGCAATTGAGTGCTACAACCAAATATCCATTTATCTGTATTTGGATCTATATTGACAGAGTATGTACAGGTGCACCCAAATTTCAAATCCCCTTAGTCTGCGAGCATCCAAGCATGCAGTCAAGTGCCTTTCAAATGGTGACTAGACTGAAGATTCAACCCAACTGTCGTGAGTATTCATGCTTATTCCCACAAAGATTAAAAGTGCTTGAACACACTTATCTTTCAGCATTGGCATCTGTAAAGCTTGGCATTGTTGTCCCTTCAAGGTACCATGGTGTTTCCAGACCCGTGCTTGGAATCGGCGTGAGGTTGGTGTGACCTTCTGCACGTGCACAAACCAACTCAATGCAGAATTACTACACCTACGATCCTAAACTCGGCTCGTAACCCACTCCCCAACCCTGAGCCTATGAACACACAAGTCAGAACAACCCGGCTATTCCGAATCAATGGTTTAAAGACTTCCAACAAGTGCTCGGCAACTCCTAATTGCCTTTCAGGTGTCCTGGAGTTGCATCTGGTAGAATGTCTTTTGAATTATGACTAGTATCCTCACGGAGCACTGCTGTACGCGCTGCTCAAGGACGCCGGTTGTGACGTTGCATAGAAAATGCAGCCGCTTCCCCCCTCAACGACTGCCCTTTCAAAGGAAGCGCACTCCGCTGTAGGGATGGATAGCTGTAGCGGTAGCGCATCCACAAACCTAGTTTTAGCAGCTTTTGCAAATTCGTGGTTCATTGCCATACTCCTGGTCAACCAATGCCCAACAATCAGAACACCAACGCAAAACTCAACCAAATCTTTCATTACGACGCACTTGTTGAAACACGTTATTTCCCATGTTGCACAAGTGCTGTTCTGTTCCGAAGCCAAAGCCCGCGATAGCTTGCAATCGTCAATCTGCATGACTTGAACTATGCAAGCAAGGACTAGGCCGGTGTCCGCGGCTGTGAATTCTGGATTTAAGCAGGATCAGTCAGCATGTGCCCTCCAAATGCCCAAACGTGCAATTTTTGCAAGGGCAGGATTATGGAAGTCCCCGGCAAGGGATGCGTCAGCATGGAGCTCGTTTCAACCCCAGGGTTCCGCTATGGAGGTCATCTTGGTGTCTTTTTGACAGCATGGCACATGTAAGGCACAGGGCTGACAGTGAACTGACGCCTTGCAGCTTTTGTTGTGGGTGTCAAGCTGGGAACACCTTGTGAGCCTTCAAATCCAGGATGGCCCCCTTCCGGACGCCGTCTCACACCGGGTGAGCTGAGCTTTCGGCAATGGACGGACAGCCAGCTTGAAGCATCACATCCAAGGCACGGCGAGTGTAGCAGTAGTTGATGACTTCCAGCACAATAGCCAGCAAAAGCATTGCCTCCAGGTATAGAATCACTCTGAAGTAGCTCAGTATTGTGGTGACTTGCCTCGTCCTTGCTTCAGATCCGGGATCAAAAGGTTGCGAGGGTACGTTGCAAGCCTTCGGGGGAATCATGATCTAACTATGGTTTCGTTCCCCACGGACATGCAATTTGTCGTGTTCAAAACATCAGTCCGCACCGACACTATCTGAAAGGCAACAGCTCAATGCTGAAAGCATTGAACTCCTTCTTGAGGAGTGGGATATTAGTTTCTCGGACAAAAGACAACAACACTGTGTCGTCACAAGGCAAACCCTGCACCTTTGTTACACGCCGATGGCTTGGCAAACACTCCCCGCTGCCAAACTCCGGAGCCAAACCCTGGACTAGCTGGGATTGCTGGAACGGGTAGAATCAATAGAACACATTGACATGGGCAAACAGGGCTCCTTTTCGTTGTTTGTTCGTGCAAGCACACTTTTGTCATGAATGACAAAAGCCTGTTTAGCTCTGAGCTCTGAGCAACTGATCCCCATCCTTGCACATATTATTTGAACACCCATGCCTTCAAATGGCTGAATTGCGTCTCGTGCACCAGCACCGTGAAGCTGTAGACCATTACCTCGGCTCCGATTGACACACGTGAGGTTCATCCTGCTTAGTGATTCACAAACATTGCTGCAAAGGGCCAGTTTGTTTCAGGCAAGCTGGCAGAAGCTGGCAAATGAATGACTTCAGAGTTTTGCTTTCAAGCTTAATTCGTCTGCAAGAAGCAACTGGCTTGGGTCGTATGCCCTGAGCGTGCCAAGAACATTGGCCATTGCAACCCAATCCATGCCTTCCGCCCAGGACCTGCTGGGCTCAGGGTTTAAGCTGAGGGTTTAGGTTTCGGGTTTCTAGGGCTTAGGTTCGGCTCCAAAACTCACCAAATCACTGGCCCTGCGCAGTAATTAGGGTTTAGTTTTAGGGTTTTAGGTGTCTTTGGGTTTAGGGTGTTAGGGTTAAGTTTAGGGTTTTTAGGGTTTATTTAAGTCTAGGGCTTTTAGGGTTTAGGTTTAAGGTTTGTCGGGTTTAGGTTTCGGGCTGTTGGGGCTTAGGTTTAGAGTTTTTAGAGGGTTTACTTTCCAAGTTTGCAAGTTCGGCTACTGGAACACTGGCCCTGCCCAGTAATTTGCATTTGCGGCCAATCCGTCCTGAGGGGCGTTGGCAGATCACGTCGTGGATTAGCCGTAACTGCAGTGAGGAGTGGGCTCTAATTTCAGCCCGGGATCTAGGTTTGCCTTAAAGCTGAACTTGCCTGAGACTCCTGCACAGACTTTGAGACACTGAAAGCCTATGGCAAAACAAATGAGCGGGTTGCAAGGAGAGTGGAATCCTGACGGCAAACACCTTGCTGCTGGACAACAGCTAGTTTCCCACCTTACTTTTGTTGGTGGTGTGCCGAAAAGAATGTTAGAATGCATGGCATGCGACAGCTTTGTTTCAGCCAACCCTCTCTAGAGCAATGAGGCACGCTGCATAGGCTTGGGCGTTGGCCTTGGCTTTCCGCCGCTTTCTGAGGATTTGCTACTCTCCTGCCTCCCGCTCGATTTTGGGGTCTGGCGCCAGGAGCTCCAAAAACTCGACGTCGTGGCCGCAGTGAGCTGATGTTCAGCGATTTTCGGAATTGTGTTCAGCTCAGAGAAAAGCGCGCGGAAGCGGCGTACGAGTCGACGAGGGGCGCATGCCACCCCATCCTCCACTTAGCCTCTAAGCGGGTTGCGGAGAGGATGTTGGAAACTCGTAGCGGGGGGAGAGTCAACAGGTCAGCTGGTTCTGGGGCCAATTGCGGCCAAGATGTGCATGGTTCCGGGGTTGTTTTCGTTCACACGCCCAACCCCAGACACTTACCTGGGGTGGCGGTGAATCAAGCGCTCCAAAAAAGCGCGCGACATGATGGGGCGGTGCATACATTTAGTCAGGCATTCTTACGGCGCCCTTTATTGGCAGCTGGATCGGACTGGATTGCGCTCGGCTCATGCCAAGATAGAGCTAGATTGTGGCTTGTGGGACAGGATTGCAGTCGGATCGCTGCCGGATCGCGCTATACCCGCTGGAATCAACCTAGAAACCGGCTTATCCTGACAACCTGCTGATTGAGTTCTTTGAGGCCGTTTACAGGTGCAACGATCACCTGCTGATTGAAAAAATGCCACTCCACGTCGAACTGCTCAGGAAGCTTGCTCAACCTCGAAACTCCGAGGCAATTGAAAGTTCCTGCCTCTAGCCTCAGCTGTTTTGCTAGAATAATTTGCTCAGTTGCGGTTGATGGAACTCTGAATTTGCCGGTTTATTGGAGATGGTTGCAACCCAAAGCTCAAGCTCATGGGTGGCCTTTACCAGCCTGGGTGTTCTTTGGGCATGTGGCAAAGGAGAAGGGAGTTCTTTGACACACCGCAGTTCCGTGAAACACTTCTTCCTCTTGTTTCTATGTTTGGCCCAAGGTGGTCATCTCAGAATTCAGGCTCGCTCCCCGCCCGCCACATCTCCCAGTTCAAAACATCCTTGATACCTATTTTCCAAAAACATGCCGGCTATGTGTGTATGTGTGTATGTATGTCTCTGCTCTGTCTCTGTCTGTCTGTCTCTGTCTCTGTCTGTCTCTGTCTCTGTCTCTGTCTCTGTCTCTGTCTCTGTCTCTGTCTCTGTCTCTGTCTCTGTCTCTGTCTCTGTCTCTGTCTGTCTCTGTCTCTGTCTGTCTCTGTCTGTCTGTCTCTGTCTGTCTGTCTGTCTCTGTCTGTCTGTCTGTATGTATGTATGTATGTAGCATTTGCTTCCGTCGCCGAGGGGCCAGCGACATGGCGTTGCAAATGTTCTTCACCAAGGAGTCGAAATGCTTCACGCACAAACTGCAAATCCTCGGCCCGACGCGGTCCTTGAGGGTAAGGCTAGGGTGTCAATCGAAACCAAAGGGAAATCATGAATCGGGGGGATTTCAAAAGGCCTTGGACTAAGCCAAGTAGTAAGTTCACCAGAAGTTGAGGCCTTGTAATTCCTGAAGTCATCTAGTTACTCTCCACTTGCCTGACTTTGCAAACTGCTAGACCTAACACTGAGTGTTGTTTCGTTTCACAAGGCCAACTCAGAGGGGCAATGAGGGAGAGACTTGCCGCTCCCTTTTGTGGAGTAAAAGGCGTTGCTGCTCGCGCTTGTATTCTGCACACCTCTGCCATGCTCCAGTGAGCCTTCAACAAAACATCCATGCAGTCGTTTATTGCTGCGTCTATGTTGACTCCATAGCTTTTTGTTGAGGGTACCATTTCTGCCTGCCTGAGGCAAACAATTTGAAGGAAGTCAACCTTTCTGAGTTCCCCCAGCTCGAGATAAAGCCACACACTGTGGGTGTCCCAACAATCAAACACACCCACAACACAATGCCTCTGGCTGAACTCCCTGCAAGAATGGTGCGTGTTGGTAACAGAGGCATAGCAACAACGCCTAAATTCACTTACTTTCAAGAAGATGGATTTTGTTCAAGGAATATGCCATCAAATCAAAGGCGGTTGCATCTGAATCCAATTCTGTCCGGCTGCAACTACTCCTCGGACAAACCACTGTATCAATGACAGAATTGGAGCTGCGAATTCCCCCCCCCCCAAACAAAAAGTGCTTCTTCACAGAGGGTTGTGGTCTCTTGCACGTCCGCTGATGAAATACTTGCATTGACTGTAGTGGATCCTAGTCCTGAAGAAGTTGTTGCGGTTTGGCTGACAGGACTGTGGCTCCCTTAGTAGGCTTCCTTCCTATCATTGTCTAGGCTCCTTTCCAAAGGGCCCATGACCATTCCCTTTAGCCCCAAATGAAAGGGTGCATGGACCATGGCACGCATGATGGCAAGAAATGTGTTTTTTCAGGGATCCCTGTAGCGGTTTGTGGAACACTCATCGAGCATGACATGTGTACACAACACAAACACATAGATTGCATATCTCCGGTGCTTGTCACCGAATCGCAAGAACCGACATGTCAAGCCGTGGCGGCTCACATTCTTAAAGCAATCGTTGAGTGAAGAGATACGAGCATGACTTAGAAGTCTCCCTCCCAGAGCCGCGCTAACACATCGCCAGCCTGGTCGACTGGGTCATTCTACTTCGCTTTGTCGGATCGGCAACGCCCTCCAAGGTGGCCGAGACGCCACTCCCTCCAGCAATACATGGCAGCCACCACCAGCGTACGGTCCGTCCAGGTCCCATCCGGACCACCTGTCGAGCAACTTGCGACAGGTGCCGGTCTGCACCCTTGCGAGCTCGTGCTCGGTGAATCGTCACGACGTAGTGCTGTTGCAATCGCAAAAAAAAGAGTGTATGAACATGTGTTCTGTGTGTGCACATGAATGCGAGCGTATTCGAACCTTCCGAAACCCATCCAAAAAAATGAACTTCGAGAACGCTGCCAAACAAGTCCCATGTGGACCTGTGACTCTTGCTGTCTGTTTGATGAACTCTTCCCTGGCACTGATGATACGTGCCTGTATCATAAAGCATATTTGTCCAAAAACCACACACACACACACATGAAGGTAGGACAATCAAGCTGACGCTTGGACAAACAAATGCAAATGCATGCTAAATGAATGGATACTCACATCAAATCTGGTTATGAAGCTTCAGGAATACACTGCAAATGATTCAGTCGGACAATCTAACAACTCCTCTCTGGGATGGACTGCTTGAGGCTTCTATCTGTACATGACTCCCATAACCAAAGACCAGAGTCTGGGGAAGTGTAGGGCGAGTGGTGAGGGAGACCTCCAAGACAAGAACCACTGGTTGTCAAAGTTGATGGCACACAGGGCTACCAATAGCACGTATGGCTAAAGAAGCCACAGCCCTGTCGGGTGAGTCGTGGCTAGGTCCAGCTCGCCCGGAAATTCCGATGAAAAAATGGTCCCAATGAGGCATGTTGAACCTGTGGACGGAGAAAACCCGGGCACCAGTTCAGATTAGCCTATGAACACCGGGATAAACAATAAACCACCTAGGCGTGAATGGATTTTGTCGATGCGTGCTTGCACACCAGTGAAGGTTGAAACAAATACTCCCACTTCCCAGGTCTTGGGAAGCCAAAGGGCTGACTTCGAGACACAAACAGCGGCCAAGTTTTCTGTACAGCGCAGCCCTGTGAGTAAAACGTCCTATATGTTCACAGTATTGGAACAACCAGGACTGCTCAACTCCCATGTTGATGGCTGGGCAACTGCCGACTGAAAAGAAAGGTATGAACCTCTGTTGTATCGGCCCTGACAAATCAATGGCAAACGTGCTAGCTTCTTAAATGGAGTGTATCGACGCCGCAGGGATGCAAGCTGGGGCTTCAGTCTATCTCAGCGAATCACCTACAAATTAATAGCCGGACCGCTAGGGCCAGCTCTTGGATGTACTAATCATATAATTTCAGGTTGTGTTTCATTAGTCTACCGCAATATATATATATATATATATAACACATTCTTGGAGACCCTGGAGTGGTTTCAAACCCCCCAACCACCCATGGCAGACTGTCAAGTGAGCCCCCACGCCTAAAGCCGGCTGTCTGATTTGCGGCGCCACATGTTCTGGTTTACTTCTTTGGATCTGGCCGCTACCCGTTGCCGGGGCTTATTTCCGGCATCTTGAAAATGAAAGAACCCGGGTCTCAATGTATGAGAGGCCCTGAAACTCCCCTGGGTCGATGACTTCTTTCCTCTGGTCGTACCCTGCGACTAGACGTCAAAGCATTGTTGTTCAAGTTGTACTAGAAATCACAACGCCAAAACTTGGCGACCGCGTAGACGAAGGCACAGGGCGCGACTCAATAGTTTGGCGAACCATCTCGGGCCACTTCCACGTTGCTTGTACTCCAGTTGTTCAGTGATCCTGGCAGAAAACAAGTCGGAGCCCGTTTTGGGTTCACCACTTTGAGTGGTAACCAAACAAAAAGGGAAAAAAGGGTGCCACTGAACATTTTGTGGGGACCCACAAGCTGGGTTTGTTGTCTTTTAAGTAAGATCACCATTCTTCGGCATCCTAGTCTGATCCTGAGTCTGACCTGGTTGGCGTGCGGCCAGGGAGCTGAAAAATTCTCGGGGATCTTCCCGCTGCACGAAGCTCAGGACGAGGTACCCAGTCGTCGCCGCGGTAAAGGCGCTGAAGGAGACCTGCGTGAGGCTGATGCTCAATCGACGAAAACCAAAACGCAGTCACAATCGACACCTGGTATTGAAGTGGTCTACCCAACACCATGCAAAAAAAACAAAAACAATGAGAGGCGTGAAACTGTTTCTGGTTGGGCATGTCCCTTACTAACCCTGGGTCTAGCTAAGCCCTTGATAAGGAATTGAATGTACGAGTACCTACTGGAATTTCGGATGGGCGTCATGCTACGCACCCACGGCCCAGTGTCAAAGGAAAACAACACGCCGACAAATCTCTCCACATCAGCAGATGCTCAATCAATCCATATGCAGCTTTCCGCAACGCGTTGTGGGGACTGCAGCTGAACCAGAATCACTAAGACAGAAATGTGTACACTCTCGGGACTCCACGCCATGGGCCAAGGCCTGATTTTAACTTGATTTGTTGAGAGTAGGGTTTTCGAAGGGAAACCCAAGGGACCCTCGGCGCATTTGGGGGGGCGCTGGCGCAAGGGACCCTCGGCAATCTACCAGTCATATTGACCTGGCGGCATGGCAATTGCAGCCGACCCAAGACCCGTGCCACTTGCAGGCTATCCACGTTGCTAACAGGCTTAGCTGAAACCTGCGTGTTAAGATGTCTCTCCGCCCTCGCAAACAAGTGGATCTTAAGTATCAAAGCAATCTTCGATTTTTACAATAATCCCAACATCTGCAAAAAGGGTCCCCAGGTAAAGGAATTCCATCCCGCAAGCTCGTTTTACCCCTATGCGAGCTCGGCAGAAAGCAGGCCATAGCTACTGTCAATGGTGTGGCCAGTGCAACTTCCTTTCGCAGCCCCAGGTGCAAGCTCGACACATTTATCAGCTGGAACTCAGAATCCCCCCCCCAAAAAAAAACACAAAGGATCAAACAGGGGCGTTATTCATGGGTTGCCTCTATACCTTTTTGCCATTCAAAAAGAAGGGCCCGAGGCAACCAATATCTGTTCGAAACGACATGGGGGGAGGTTGTCAAACGCATTGGCTGTATTTGGTATCCTCTCAAACAGGCGGCCCAAGGCGTAACCTGGGTCCAAAAAGCGGCCATGTGTTTGACAAGCCCTCCCAACATTATGTAGGTGTGCATGTGAGGTTCTGGAATCGCAAGCTATCCCCCCAGGTTTGGCATCGACTTCGGCTTCCCAATGCACGCTTGAAAGCAACAGGCCTCAGGGTTCCTTCTATTCTCTCTGAAACATCACCCCACCAAAAGGAACTACACCTTGAAGCAGCAACCTTCTGTTTTCTGTCAAGGACCAATTCAAACAGGACGCCTCAGGCTGAACCCCGAAATTCCTCCCTAAGGTTGCCTGTGTCATCTGGACGTGCAAGCGCATGGGATGAGCGCCAGACTTGAAGCAGGTCTCCACATAGACCTTAGCATTCACGAAGGCCGCAATCGTTGGACGATGGAGTGCCTAAATGCCCATTAAGGGCCCGGGCAAAGGGGGAGGGGCTGGCGCCAACGAAGCACAAAGAGACTAGGCTCAAGTGAGACGCTCACAAGTGCATTACCCATGCCAAGAAACACAGGATGTCGCACGTTTAAGATAGGTTGAGACGCTAGCAGCACTCTCAACGGGCCATTTGAGGGGGAGAAACTTTGCACGCCCCGAGTTGCATTTCTGAAGACTCGGTCGTAACCAGCCACACAATGAACATGTCAACAACTGGTCGCATTTGGAACCGCCCATTAAGATTAATCAAGAGAAGCTTTGAGCAATTGAACCGGAATTACAGAGCTCGCAGCAAGAAGCCATGGAAATCACTCCACCTCCCGCAGTTCAACTGCTTCCAAATGGCACTGCTGAGCACTGAGAGCAGTACCTGCCATGCGCCTATCTGGCCTTTGCCCATGCACTCTCAGGATTGCCGCTATAAACCCAAGGGTGCGGCAACTTTGACATCTGGGCGCGATGAACGCAAGGCAGTGTTCAAAGCAACTACCAAGAAGGCTTTGTGAATCGACTTGTTGGCAGATCAAACACAAAATGCAATAATCAAACATATGCCAGCTCTGTTCGAAAGTCACCCCTTTTAATTCGAGTCCAGCCACATGTGACAAGAGTGTATCACACAGCTAAAAAAACGCATGTGCCATGCATGATCATGCATTGGCTGGTGCAAACAAGTACAAAGCAATTCGCTATGTAGCTTGAAGTTGTCGAGAAGAAGCGGATGTGATTCTGTGACCAACATGACCAACTTGAAACTCGAATCCCAAGCTCCTCTGCAAAGGCACACACACAAAGCCAGGAAATCACTAGACCTGCTGATGAAAACACAAGCTGTGCCAGCAACATGGTGCCCACTGAAAGTCATTGGTTACAAAGACCTGCAACAGCCGTTTGGTCGCGTCTGTGCCTCAAGCGGACACGGCAAATTCTACCACGAGGTGACACTGCCTTGACCAAGGCGAAGGCAGCTCCCACGATGTGTTCCTACGTGGCAATTGGCTGGAAAGCGGCCTGACCTGACACCCTCCGACAATTATCACCACAAGAAACGGCAATCGCAAACCGTAGGGAGTGATCACAGTCCTAAACCGACACCCGTCAAATTCGCAGATAGGGCGCATGAACTGATGCCCTTGTATGTTCTTCCGTGGCAGCTGTTGAGCCAGCAGAAGCCAAATGCTTCGTCGTGTTGCAGCTCCTTATACCTTGCCCTTGCTTCAAGCTGTTCAGTATGCCTTCGCATTCCGAGATCGAATTTTTACTTGTCTTCCTACCGCCAGTACAATTCAACCATGCACGGACCAACAACAAAACCATAAAAGCACATTTCAACGGCTTCAACGTTGCTGAATTCCCGGTCTAAAGCTTGTAGTGTTTGAATCAACATCCAAGAAACAAAGCTTGCCGCGTTCGACAAATACAAACATCGGCGGTGCTGCGACTTTGATTGATTCGCCCAGCCCACGTATTCGAGATCGGACGTTGCAACCTCAAATACTTGCTCGGGACCGCTGCTGCAGGTGGCTCATATTCAAAACCCAGCAACATAAGAAGGGGCCTACTTTCAAAAGCCATAGCAAAGAATGACAAGGGCACCTGTAGCACCTATGGACCTATGGATACCCATGCTTGGGCCGCAAGGCCCTACTAACCTTCACTTGCTAGGTTCTGATTTTGGCTCACGTCGAATGAAGCCTGTTGGCCTTTTGGATCCTATTGGTCCTTTGCTACTTGCCTGCATGAACTCATATGAACTCGCTGGCTAAAATAAGGAACTTGGGATCCATATCACATTTCTCAGGAGTTGGCGGTCCTCCTTGCCCAAGTTTGTGTGATGAGAATGAGCCAGCCCATGCCAGCATAGCCAAAGTGCTTTTCACGGGAATCTTCAGGGTTGAGACGACTGATTTAAAAGGCGTGAACGTAACCACCATTTTCGGGGTCCACATTCATGTTTTGTCTCCTGCGTGTCGCTAATTTCGTCCACCTCATAGCGCTTCACCATCAGCCACATGTCCTGCATAAAGCGACAATCAGGGGCGAGACCATCCGATTGCGCCATGCTCCAAGTGCCCGCACTTTGAATTGCTCAAGCAAGGAAAGCAATTGACGAATAAGGTTCATTTCCATACCCGGTTCTGTGCCCTCACCTAAACAAGAGTCTTGTTTGATGCGTCAGCAAGAAACACTTGCCTTGACTGTACTATTTGGGCAGTCGCTGTAAGCTGTTTGAGAGCATGAACTCGCCTGGCAACGACCTTTGACTTCAGCATGGTGCAGAACAGCGAGTTCCACAAGCAACCCTAGCATGAACGATTTACCAACAAACTATCTTACTGCAATCTAGCTGGTCAGCACACAGACCGCCAAGTGTAGACAGGGTCACAGCTTTAAGAACCCGCACATGTCCAATATCCTTGGCGACACACATACACACACAAGCACTAGAAACTGTCAAAACGATCTAGTGAGCGCTACAGCATGTTTCGCGAAGATATACATACTCCACTGCCAGCTGAAGATAGCTGGAAGCGAACAGTAATGCAATGATCCTGGCAAGCAACTACAATGCATCCTGGGATACTCCCCATATCAAAGATGAATTGAAAAGGTTGCCATCTTTCGAAGAGGCAAGCTATTCCACAACTTACAAATAAAGAAACCAAGAAGCAAATAAACAAACAAACAATACAAGAAAGAAAGAAAGAAAGAAAGAAAGACAGAAAGACAGAACAAATAGATGGAGACATAAGGGGGCACATAGACAAGGAAAATACAAACAACAAAGAAGCAAATCAAAAAATAAACACAGAACCAAAGAAAAACACCAATCCAGAAACCTACAATTACACAATCAAGCAAGCAAGCAAGCAAGCAGGCAGGCGGGCGGGCGGGCAGGCAGGCAGGCATGCAGGCAGAAAACAAACAAGCAAAGCAGAACACAAGCAAGCAAAGCAAGCATGCAAGCAACAAGAAACAACAAAAGAAAGAAATAAACGCGCAAATAAACAACCTCACACACACACACACACACGCACGCAGTCGCACGCATGCACGACCGCACGGCACGGCATGGCACTGCACCGCAGGCACTGGCACCGGCAAGCGCCAAACGCCACAAACAATGCACATACACACCACACAAACACAACACACATGCACAAAACACACACATACACACCAAACACATACACAGCCACCTGTGGTTACTGTTCTAGTAGATTGCCTGGCTCCACTAATTCAGCCAGGGCCGTGGAGCTTCCCTGTTTACTGCTTTCCGTCTCCAAGCCCGAGCGGCGGAGCAAGTAGGAATATGTTGGCATTCAGTCCCAAAGCTCCCAGGCACTAGACGCGTGCGTATGCATCAATCTCAAAACGGAATGCGTATCTGCGAACGAGCGTACCATTCTCATCACCACTGGCCAGGCAACAAAATCACAACTTGCGCGGAGTGAATTGCTAAGTCTCCAGCATAGGATCTTGACACACACAGGGGAGCGCACACGGGGAGGGTGGCCGACGGGCAGGCTTTCTGCAAAGCTGTACGAAGGTTGGAGTCCATACAACAATCATAATATCACATGGGTCACCGTCATGAGCAGCAACAAAATCGCCAACGCGATTGTAAAAATAACATGACCAAACAAAAGCAGCCTATTGAACAACTGTCATCAATTGTATATTGTCCAATTGTTCTAATCATCTAGACTTGGCTTGAGGCAGTCATGCGTTCGCACCATTTAATCCAACCTGCGGGTAAAAATGTGCCTGCCTAACACAAATGGGATTCGAGAAGTTCAAGTTTTGCCACGTGTACACCTGCACACCTACGTGCAGTTCTCTTCACGGCAATTGCAAAAGGCCTCAAGTCGCGCACTGGTCTTTGGCTCAGCGGGATAACACACGACCAGCAGGGACTTGGAGCAATCCTACCACTGCAGAACGCTCTTTCTTCCAAAGTGGTGGCACAGGGTCTTCGGCCAATAGCTCTTGCTAAGTCGAAAAGGTCCCGATTGACGAGTCTCACCGAGATTTGGCTGTGGCTCAAAAAATCTGTACCAAAATGGAACCCTGGTATACCGGTATAAGCGGAAACATGGACCAAAACCTGCGGTTTGCCCCTCCGATCGTTTAATTTTAAGCCGCACCCATTTGGTGTCCTTTTGCAGCCGCCATTCAAAGAGCCGCTGGGAGTTGGAGGTGTTGTCCGGGATGAGGCCTCATCCAATGCCCGGAATCTACGGGCCGGACCAGCAGCTTGTGTTATCCCTTCTGTATCATGAAGCAGCCAGCCGCAAATCAATTGTCACCGTCCTCCTCGAAAGTCAACCAGTCTTGAGAGAGGCAGGCTCTCACCCCTCTGCATCTCTTTGGTTCAAGAGCATGATTGCAGTTCTGCATCTCTCGCATGTTGATTTTGTTGTCATACTAAGGTGAAGCGTGATGAAGCTGTTCTGATGAAGCTGTTCTGGAGGAAGCAAATTAGTCCTACCTCATAGGCCATCTACTACGGGTACGCATTTTGATCAAAGTACTAGAAGCACGCTCTTCATGATCAATCATGTTTGCTGGACGTCTTCGTCGGACGTCTACGTCTTCAATCATGTGCACTCTTCAACTGGACGTCTTCGTCGGCCGCAACCCAAGATGTTCCTTGTGCTGCATGGTGCTCGCTGCCTTCGGGCGACGCTGGAATGCAAAAACATGCAACCCCCCCCCCCTCAACGCGCACCTTACGTGGGCCATGATTTGGGCTCCCACAAGCAGGAACCCCAGTACAATACTGGTTGTCTATATAACATCTGTATCAAAAGGGCTCAGGATCATACCTAGTAACTAGTAGAACCAAGCAACCGGTCTTTTGACCATGGCATAGGATAACTTGTAGTATCCGCTGGAAACAACTGTTTCAAGTGTGGTCGCTTGGATACGACCTATCTCGCCGTACTCCGACCTAGGGTGGGGACCTGAGTGGAAATCGACCACTTCTGCCAGTGGGCCGTAGCGCAAGAGGGAGAGGGCGATCAGCTGTGAGGCTGCATGACGCTTTTTGCTAGTTGTGGGATGAAGCAATGGTGGCACTTTGGAAGACCGTGCGTACATATGATCGTAAAGGACCTGTATGTCTGTGGTGAAAGATCCCCAAGACTAGAAACCTGCCTTCAGCGGCGTTGTTTCAGCGCCACTTGCTGCATGTATTTGGTCGTATGTTTTGTCTCCGTAGACTTGTCATAAATCAGCAAGTAATCTTGCGCACGCTTTTCTGAATAGGGAG